GGGTCATAGATAGCTCATATAAACTCATAGGTATGAGTAGAACCTTTCCCCCCTTTTGGTCTGGATAGAACCAATAGGATTTAAACTCATAGGTCTGGATAGAACCTTTTCCCCCTTTTGGTCTGGATAGAACCAATAGGATTTAAACTCATAGGCCTGGATAGAGCCTTCTCCCTCTTTTTGGTCTGGAAAGAACCAATAGATCCTTATTCTGTAGTTCGTGCCTGAACTACGACCGCTCTGATTTCTCATTGGACAATGAGAATACGTAGGCACAAGATGTGATATCTTGGCGAGCAACCTTGCCCCTTCTCCCACCTTTTGGTCTGGATATAACCATTTGGTCTTACAACATAGTGATAGGTAGAATTTGTAAACTCTATGTATGAATCATAGTAATGATTACTTACTCCTCTCTCTCCTTCCAAAGGAAAAGTCTCTCCATTGACCCTTGTGTTATTGGATAGCCCATTACCCTCCCTTGACTTTGTAAAGTCATATTAAACCCTAGCTTAGTTAAGTTAGAACATATAAGCCATTAGACTTTGCTCTAAGTATAAAAAACCTACCTTTACTAGGAGTGTTTCTTCAACTAGAACCCTAGGATAGAGTTTGTAAACTCTATGTAAGAATCATAGTAATGATTACTTACTCCCCTTTCTTGAGTGTACAATGTAGATCTAGAGAGTTTTTAAACTCTATACAAATATTGTAATGTTTGTCTCCCTCTGAACCTTGATCATAATCAAGCGTTCTTCAACCCTAGTAAGGTGAACTACGATTGCTCTGATTCTATCCTAGTTAGGATACGTAGGCAGAGGACGCGATGTCTTTGCGAGCAAACTTAGAAACTATTTTTAGGTATTAACCTTCACCTTTTACCCAATCCCAATCCATAGCAAACATTTAACAAACTTAGCATGCAAACAAACAAAAGGTTCCTGTAGAGTACTACAGATGTTTAGGATGTGAAATACCTACCCTATGCATAACCAACCCCCGATCCCCGAATCTCTTAGCATTGTTGTTACATCGCGAAAAGGGTTTTTCTTTCTTTAGACCTTTCTTTTGGATAAATTAAAGTCCGGTTGTGAATTTAAGAATTAAGATTGAAGTTGATTCAATAGCTTGGTATCACGATTCTCACCGCAACACCTCACAACCTAGCATGTGTCTTCTCATAACAGTCGATCTAGTGTTATCCTCCCATAACTTGTATATGCATTAATCAAATTGGAGCTACTGCTTTGTACCTGATATGAGTCTGGCTAAATGATCGAGTGATTTACTTAGATCATCTCCAAACTCCATAAAATCCTAGGAATGAGTTACTATATTATTGAAATCTTGTTAGTTAAAACTTTGTAAAACGACACCTTATTTTTACCCAAGCCTAATGTTTTTAAGAGTTCGGAATAAATAATAATGCACGAACTCCCTGCTTCGATAAGGATTCGTTAAACGTTGAAGTTGGCCATGGTTATCTTTATTAGTAAGAGGAAAATCTTAGCGGGGATCCTACTTCTCTTCTTGCTATCTCTAAACTCTATGATGGGTCTTTCTAGTTTATTTTTAATGGAAGTTTCTTTATTCTTATCTATCATAATCAGCTCAATGATTTTCCTTTTCATTGGCCCATTTAATGGTGTCTTTGGAAAGGGGGAAGCCTCCGATGATAAATGGAGTTATATCCCCATTTAACTAATGTTATGTATTGTTATTTTCCTCTTTGATTTTCTTATTCATTATTGTTGTTATGCATATTTTTCTCAATCTTCTCGACATCCTCAATATTCTTATTTAGAGATGAATTATCCCGATGTGGAGTCATTTCCTTCCTGACGAGTTGCTTTACCTCTTTGATCCTCTAAGGGATCCCCTTCTTCTCCCCTTATCGTCCTTCCTTTCATTTTCTTGGGCAGGCCAGCCCAATCTTCTTTCTTAACCAACTCTATGACAATACCTTTTAGATAAGAAAATTCTTTTGTGTTATGCCAATGGCTTTTGTTGAAGTGACAAAACCTTGACATGTTCATTTTGAGGGCCCTTATGACAGGGTGATGGTATCTTACTTCAGCCTATTTGAATTCAACATTGGCACACTCTTGTAGGATCTTTCCTCTAAAGGTGTTGAGATGAATATAAGAAGATAACCTAGATCTTGGTCCCCGATGTGTGTTTTTTTCCCAATCATCACGATGCCAATTGTTCTTAGACCGACCGCTCGTGTAGTTTGTCTCCATATCTTCAGCTAATAGCATTTCTTCATGATTAGGATACAACTAGGCTCTGTTGAGGAGATCATTCATGCTCCTAGCGCCCTTTAACCCTAATTTCTCACAAAACCTAAAATGCTTCCTAAGTTTCTTCTCGAATATCCAACCTTTTAGCCCGTCATTAGATTCTCTTACTTCAATTGCCACTTTTGTTAATCTCACTGAGAAAGGATATCATTTTCTATTGTCATTTTTTTGCTCTATGGATGGATTCGTCCTGTAGGATTTTGAACCACTTTGTTTTGAGAGTAATACGAACAATTATCATTTCTCCACACTCCTCGCATGGTATCCATATATTCAATGTGCTCATCTAGATTTCTGGTCCCATAGTATTTTTACACTTTTACTAGTTTCTCAAGCCACTTGTGAATCTTATAGTCAATAATATACTTCAAAAATGGGTTCCTCCAATAGTTTTGAGAATGACGCAACAATGATCTCCTAGTGCGACGATCCTTGTGAGGTGTGTGGCTATCATCTCCGCCTTCTAAACCGTGAGGAGGAGAGTGAGAGGTCTAAGAACAACTATGTTTTGATGATCTGGAAGCCTGTACAATGTGAGACGGTGGTGTTGAGAAACGCATTAGGTGTAACTCCGAGGTTGCTATGTTGCAATACCTCACGTTGTGTGGGGGCTTACGTAAGAGCTATTTGTGTATTTTCTTATACTCAAAAGAATCTCTTAGTCAGAAGGTGTGCATTTTTTGTTGCACCAGATTGTAAATGTTTGTGTTAAATTTGTCCGCTCCTTGCATTTCTAGTGTAGCCTAAAGTTGTTCTGGAACATTTTTTGTTCAAGTGTTTGTGCTAGCAGTTGAGGTTTCTTAAAAGTTTGACATTGGAATAACTCATGAAAAGGTAGGAAGGACGACATGACCTTAAAAGTACCTTGATTGTTCGGTGGAGAAACTAGGGTTTGAAAAGATGAAACGAACGAAGTAACTTAACTGCTCCCTAGTAAAAGATAGAGGAACTGCTTATATATGAATCATCTTTAAAATAAATCTATTAAACAATTATTTAAACAATTTTTAAAAATTACATTAAAAATATGTTTTATTTTATTTTTTATTCAAAATAATTTTTTTAAAAACAAATTTATAAAGCACATTTTAGAAACTAGAAATTAAAAGTTATTTAATCATGCCCATAATCATATGGTCGGTATTTTCAATTAGTAATTGTACTATTATCAATAATAATAGAAAAAGTTGTTGGATTTGGTTTTAAATTCATAAGGTTTGTCTCTACTCAATTCTAGCATTAATACAAAAAGAATCACAAAATTCTAAACCTACTTGTTGAGAATGTTTAAAACGAGCTTATCACTACAAAATTTTATTGATAATATTAATAACAATATTTGAAACTTCTAATCACATAATAAATATTTAGTGCAAAATTATTGTAACCAAATATTTGGTTTCAATAGTTAACAAACTTCCAATAGTTTGGGGCAACTGTGAGTGGTTAAAGTCTCATATCATTTATAAACGAGAGAAATGCTGGATTTATAAAATATATAATTTATTTATCTAATATTTTAAGGTTTTAAATAGAGATGTGACGTCTCTCTCTTGTGATCCTGGAGCATTGTTCTCATTGGTGTTATCGCCTTTCTCGGATTCCCAAACAGTTGTACCATAACTTTAGTTTGGCTTAGTGGGGGAGTGGGTGCTAGATCCTGTGTTGGATCCTATAATAGGATGTGAGGGATGTTGGGAAAAGACAAACAAAACATAGGGAAAAAAGAGGAACACAAGAACATAACGTGGAAACTTCAAAATCGGAGAAAAAACCACAATCGTTGTCAATAGACAACTAGAGTATAACACTGTGTAAAAATTGTTACAATGTATAATATATCTTCAACTAACCTAGACCTCTAGTACACCCACACCCTACAAAACAAATATTTAACTACATTTAACAACACTAATACAAAAGTATAAGAGAACAAAGAAAGTCAAATATAAGCTTAAAGTACTTTTGACTGATGCATCTTGGAATGAAGAACTTGAATCCTATATATAACATTTGAATCCTTCTTCCTTCACAAAATTAAGCGATGTGGGACTTCAAGTAAACTGTATCTTATATATAGCCTTGGACTCTCTCTTCATTCACGAAACTAAGCGATGTGGGACTTCTTCAACATGTATATGTTCAACCAACCCCAACAATCTCCGCATTGATTGAAAATAATACATAAGCTTTCGTTGTCTTCACCAACAATCATACTTCACCATAAAGAGTATCAACATGTATATTTTTAACCAACCCCAACAATCTCCACCTTGATTGAAAATAATACATAAACTTTCATTGTCTTCACAGACAATCACACTCTATCATAAAGAGTATAGTCACTTAAAGCTACACCACTCCAAGAATTTTAACATTGTCTTCACCGACAATCATGGTTTTAAAAACTATCATACTCCACCTAAAGAAGAGTATAATTCACTTGAAGCTGAACCACTTCAAGAATTTTCACATGTCAAAAACTAGGTTGAAACTTTATGGTGCAACTTCTATGTTGGTAGGAAGCTCTTCAACCACCAACATAATCTCACAACACACTTCCCATCAATGCTCATGTGTTAATCCGCTAGCAATAACTCATCCTTTTCCATGACAGTGGAAATGTCATGAGGACACGCTTCTCAATTTTCAGAGAAGATCATCCTCTCTCACAGCGAGAGAGACATTGCTAGCATTTTACTCAAAGCCCTTCTCTAACGCAGCCCAAGCAAGACACTTATACTTTATATGTCCAAGCTTTCCATATTTCCAACATTTCACACCCGTTTCATTATTTTTCTTCAGATACGACCTTCCTCTAGCAACCAACACTGAGTTTGATGAAGTATTCTCCTTAACCTTCAATCTTCTTTCTTTAGAAATAATCTTACTAGCAACTTTTTCAAAGCTCAAAGTTTCATTCCCATATATTAAAACAGGTTTAATATGCTCATAGGAAGATGGAAGAGACCATATAAGTCTCAAAGCTTTATCTTCATCATCAATCTTAACTCCAATAATTACTAATTCAGAAACAATACCCTTTAGAACACTTAGATGATCAGATACTTTCGTATGTTCATCCATACGTAAGCTATGAAACCACTTCTTCAATAATAGACGATTTAATATACCCTTTCCTTGATATAACCCTTCAAGTTTCTCTCAGAGCTCTTTGAATGAAGACGTACCTAGAACATTCCAAAGACATGTGAATTGTACTCGAAGCTCTCAAATCCAGTTCCTCTCACTTCTCGTTGTCCATGTTGAAAATGTTTCCTTTCAACGCCTTGTGTAATCCTAATTGTATCAAAACATCTTTGACTTGAATTTTCCACAAGTAAAAATTAATTCTTTCATCAAATTTTTCTAAGTCATTCTTCATTGCACTTGAAAAACTTGACATGTCAACCAAAATCTTTCCAGCAGCAAAACAAAACTTTTTCAACCAACACAGAGTATAAAATTTATTTTCTGATGTGGAAGATCAGGCAAAACTACAATTACAGAGCATACTAAAAAGTTTATACCCCACCAAATCAGGATCTGATATCAGTTGTTGTGAACAAACAAATAAAACATAGAGAAAAATGAGGAACATAATCACAACATAAGAACATTACGTGAAAACTCCAAAATCAGAGAAAAAACCATGATCGTTGTCAATAGACAACCAGAGAATAACACTATGTAAAAGTTGTTACAACACATAATATAGCCTCAACTAAACTAGGCCCCCGGTACACCTACACCTTCCAAAACAAATATTTAATTACATCTCACAAAACTATAATACAAGAGTATAAGAGAACAAAGAAAATCAAATATAAGCTTAAAGTGTTTTTTATTGGTGCGTCTTGGAATGAAGAACTTGAATCCTAATATATAACCTTGGACTCCCTCTTCCTTCACAAATTTAAGTGATGTGAGACTACAAAAAACTTGTATCCTATATATAGCTTTGGACTCTCTCTTCATTCACAAAACTAAGCGATGTGAGACTTCTTCAACATGTATATTTTCAACTATCCCCAACAATCTCTACCTTGATCGAAAATAATACATAAGCTTTCATTATCTTCACCGACATCATACTCCACCATAAAGAGTATCAACATGAATATTTTCAACCAACCTCAACAGAAAATTCACATTTATGGGGGAGAATGTTGATACAACTATGAGTGGTTAAAGTCTAGAATTATGAATGTGAAATACTGAATTTGTAAGAGAGAAAACTCATTTACTTAATACCTTAAAGTTTTTGGTAGAGATGTGACGTTTCTCTCTTGTGATCCTATAACATTTGTCTCTTCAAACTCCCCAAAACAAATAAGGTAAAATTATTTGAAAAATTGTGAATTTTAATATTTATTAAAAAAATTAATTAGATTTTATATACCTTTAGACTAAAGTCTTGTTTATTGATAATTTTTTTTGGTTTTTTAAAGACAAAATACTAATAACAATTAGAAATGCATACACATAATCACGAGAGTCGGTATTCGAACGTTGATGTTACATACAATATAACAATATCGATATTTGTAAGTTGAGATAAAATTTACATAATCAATAATTCTCATTTTATTGAATTGGAGAGTGAAGACAAAAACAAATAAATGTTGCATGACTAGGATTATCTTCATAAGAGCCCAACAGTTAATAAATCCAAACTGTAAAATGAAATGTATCACCAAATTACTTAAATGGATTTAACATTTTTTTTTTGTTGACTTGTTTAGCTTTTGTTGAAAAGAACCGATTATAACTTTAGATCTTACTCATAAATTGAAATGAATTCAAGAATTAAAATTCTGAAAAATTGGAAAGGAGGTGCGAGCACTTCTTAATAAAGAAGGGAATTATCTGACTTAGATAAAGCTAATCTAATTACAAGGTTTTTCTTTTGGCAAATCAAATTACAAGTTGAATAACTATTTGTATACAATTTTAACTGTTATCACTCTCAAAAGATTAGCATGTTTAATTTTCATTGCAAGAATAATTGTTCTTTTTATTTATTAAAATTCCACTCTTAATTTTAATTTATTATTTTTTTACTTATTATTTATAATAATAGAAATCCATTAATAATTCAGCTACATAATGGAGTAAAATCATCATTTTTTTAATTATGTAAAAAGATTAAATGCGGTGATTATTATATGATAGAGGAAGGAGCGTGTTGTGTTATACTCTATATAAGACCTGATTGTTACATATTATATTTAAAAAATATTTTGATATTTTCATAATTATAAATCATTTTTATAAAAAATAGTTTGTTTGTTTACAAGAATAAAAAACAAATTTTAAATCAATTTCTAAAATTAATTTTCTATAGAAGATACATGTAATGGTATTTGTCTAAGGGAACCGTCAACGGAATAGTCTAGATTAATTATTATTCTGAACAATTTTGGATTGTTGAGAGCATTGTTCAGAGCACAGAGAAACTATCCTATGAAAGAGTACAAGTGTTTCAAGGTCAAAATACATCCAACAGCTCCTTGCATGCAACGTTTAGAGAATAATATGTTATAACCGTTCCATTATATAAAGGACATGTGTGAAGAATTTTAGGTACAAAATTTCAAATTCAAATTTCATTCACTTTTCTTCTACATATACTGACTTGAGCATTTGTGTTCTAACCTTGCAGGTCATCTCTCCTTCCTCCTCCGTAGTTGAGGCTCACGTCCACTGTGGTCCACCGCGATCACCGATTCTCTGGTCAATTTATGACCATAACGAAACAACGACGTTGTTCGTGAGAATTGACTTCTGATTCCTATGTTTTCCACAATCATACATTCTAAACAACAACAGGATATGAATAACTTGCCCTTAAAACACACAACAACAATATGATATGAATAACTTGCCCTTAAAACACACAACAACAACCCAAATTGCATAATCAAGATGCAACGAAAACGAATAAAATATTGACATGGGTTCAATATCATATATTGGTGTTTGGTGAAGAAGCGAAAAAAATTGTGTAAAGATGAACACACTAAAAATAAGATGACAAAAATTACTATTTTTGTCTCTATGAAAAATCATAGACTTCCACACTTATTATTGTAATTAAAAGAAACAAGCATTTAAATGGGTGATGGAAAATTGGGTTTTTATGGTTTGATTCAAATCAAGAAAGAAATTTGATCCGAATCAATTTGGAAAGAACCAAAAAGAGTTTCTTTTCATGACACATGATTTGAATCATTATTTGTACTTGATTCAAATCAAATGTGATTTTGATTCGAATCATGTTCAAAATTTGATCTGAATCAAATGATCCAGAATGTAATCTCAAATTTCAACACGTGAATGATTTGAATCAGATATTACACATGGTCTGAGTCAATTACCAAAATCATCAAAATTCAAATGTTCTAACTTGTGATTCAAGCTACTCATGTGGAAATGACAAAATACTAACTTTCATAGGCTCAAAAAGAAAATAGCTAAAAAGGATTAACTTATTCAACATGAAATGCAAAAGCGTTCTTAGAAGTAAAGTTAGATAACCAAACAATTATACCAATGTAAAGAAAGATTACAATCACACAGATGAATCGAAATGACATACAAATTACAAATGCGCAATGAAACAGTAATCTAACTGTAAAACATCAAAACTTAATAAATACTTAAAACACGTAAAAGATACCAAATGATACTAAAGTCTCCTCCCTTTTTATATTTGGAAATATTGCGAGATTATTGTTGATGGAATAATATAGTCCGGAATTTGGAATTTGATGAAACATTATTCATACTGATGACTGTCACATAGTAATTTCTTTAAGTAGTAAAAGTTGTAAAGCTCCCCCTACATTAAACACTTAATGTGCATAAATATCGACAATATCTCATCTACCTCTCTCCCTTTGTCAAATATCAAAAAGGAGAGAACCATACAAAAACAAGGAAAAACGCACAAGGAATCCTAGCTAACATAAAACCAAAATTGAATGCCATACTTAGTGAATCATGAACACAAACATATACATTTCATCCAAGAAATAATCACAAATACGCAACATGAAACAGATATCAAGATAAAATGGCAATTGAGCAAATATTAGAAATACCAAAACAATGTGAATTCAAATTATACAATTCACACGGTACACAAAAGTTGTTCTAATAAAGGATCAAAAGGCCACAACATCAACATAACTTAAACCAAAGCAGACATAATATAAAAAGAAAACTAAACATGCTAAGTGTCATGGCATGAAATGCTATGCAGTTCACACAACATCAGTGAAAACGAAATCAGAGAATAGTGGAGAAGGTGCACCAATAGTAGCAGGGTCTTTTGGAACAGGAATAGTTGCTGCAACAATGTCTTGATGAAAGATGTAGTTGTTACCACATAGATAATCAACTGTGTTCTTCAATGCTTCGATTCAACTAGTCAGGCGTCCTTCCGATGCAATAATTTATTCCTTCATCTTCACCCAATTCTCCTATCCAACATTGGAAATCGCATTAATGCATGATATGATATGATCCTCTCTGATTTGGTTATGTGAAAGCAGCTTCTAGAGAATATCATGCAACAGTGCCTTAACATCGACAGGTGTGGAAGCAACAACACTTTCACCAAAGTGGATGGAATAGTAGTCTCAAGAGTTTCCTTCTCAATAATCTTATGATCATATATTCTTTTTTCCATAGGTCTCCAAGTAGTATTAATCACCATTTGAGTCCTTGTAATACCTCATCTTTGACACAACACCATAATCTGGAATTTTTGGAGATTCAGTGAGTTCTTCCTTCTTGCACTCAATGCCATTAAGCTGCAGGATCATCATAACAAATGAAGAGAAAATATATGCTTATTAGGATTGTCTATGCAATTGATCATACTACCAAAGATGAATATAACCCAATTATTCCTGCAAACGTTGATGTTGTAGACAAGACACCACATCAAGAACAAGTCAGTGTCATCAACCCTGCTAGAGTTACTGGGTTTCCTAGCCATATCTTCACAATAACCTAGTGAATCAACGTCACACCAAACTTGATTTGACTTATCCTCAAGTTTGAAATTTCTATATGTT